CTGCATATAAAATGCTGATAGGAGCATTTTGTCGAGTAGCTTCCCCATCTTTATATAAATATACTTCAAATCGTTTGACACAATCGATATGTGGTGGTGCATAGTTAGAAATGGGTAACCAAGAGCCTATCTCTGCTATGTCTTCCTCATTTCTGGCCCTTTAAATATAATAATGTTAAGAACTAGTGTTATAGCATTGACAGACGGGAGCTAAATTATCATTAAGGGGCTAAATTATAATTTATTTGCTCATTTAGCAGTTTTAAATGATCATTTATGGTCTTTAAATGACCGAATTTAACTCAATTTATTCGTCATTTAGGTTTTTAGAAATGGTAATGCTGCATATGAAAGTGAAACGAAATAAAAAATGGAACAAATTTCAAGGTATTTGGTTGTCAAAATGTAAACAAAACATATTTCGAAACATTGGTAAATGTAAGTACTCGTTATATTTTTATATATTTTATATTTCTTTTGATTTTAGATGACTTAAATTAATAAAGTTAAGCCCCACGCATGGACGGAAGAGCATGAGATTTTTCTTACAGCAACTTCTTAATGATCATTTATACCGTCTGTCAGGGTATTTATGCAAAACAAAAATAATAGTAACACAAATATATAAATACAGATACAGTAGTCCCTCCCAATCGTCAAGTAGTTTGTTTAACCAAATTTCCAGTAACTTAAGTTTTCTAGAATCTTTCCTTCTGGTATGTGCACACACCTTATTACACACTAATTTACATATAAGAATATATTCTGATAACTTAAGCTAAACCTAAGTGTTCCGTGAAGTTAAGATATAATTATCTTTAAAATTATTAACACTATAAACAAACTATAAAACTCTGAAATTCTATAAGAATATAACGGCATTGTAAAACTTACCAATTTACATGCCAACAGTGACCAATTTGCTTTGCCCTTATGGCACGCATTTTAAACCGAATTTTTGTATATTCTTTTTTCACTCTTCTTTTCCATTCATAAAGCACTTTTATATTACTCATTATATTAAAGTAAACAATTTTCCGATAAAGAACGCATAAATCAAGACAGATCAGCAGAAGCTTCAACAGCGTCTGTTGATAGCATTCACACTACTTTATTGGCGCGAAAGTAAACGTCAAAAAATACTTTACAACAAAGCATACAAAGAAAAGTATTCTTTGCTTTACATAAAGAGAGTCTCTATTGTGAATTAGAAACAGGTTTTCTTTAACAGAAACAGTTTAAAGGGTCCGCCTAAGTAGTTTGAGAAGCTTTCACAAATAAATTTTTTCACTTTACAAGTTCCAATAATTTTATAAGTATATTTGTGAAATTCAATAAAATGATGATATATTTATTAATTTATTGTTTTAATGACCAAATACTATTAATAATAAATTTGTTTTTCAATAAGATAATTGTTCAATCGTTAATTAATAGACTATATACAGACCATATTACTCTTAATAAGTGAATTATTTAAGTATTGACCAATTAACCCGTTAAAAAACAAAATTATTATTGAAAATATTATATAAAATATATATTTTTTTATTTCAGTGCATTGCAATAGATAGATTGCTATTTTACATACTCGTAATGTGATATGGTCAAGAGACCACACATATCACACAACGTATAAGTACTCCAAATAATTTCAATGTAAATATTATCACAGTTCTATTTTAAATAAAAATTAATAATTTTCAAATAATATGAGCTTTTATTTTGTCATTGCTTTGATGACACAACTGAGCCGCACATTGCACCATATATGCAATATTTATAGGTTAAAACTATGTCAATAGAATAAACGGTTTCAAGTGAAACCATATATGGAACCCTTGCATTCTTGGTTATTACACCATTTATGCATAAACTATTTCTGTTAAGATATTATGAACATAAAAAAAAAATAAGTAAATATATCACACAATTTATGCCATTTTCAATTGGCGAATCTGGATTCAATCTAGATTTACTCTAGATCTGTCAAATATGTTGCCCAATCGAACATTTATAGAGTAATATAAAATTATAGCAGTTATGCTATATTGGATTCATACGAGACTTTTATTTGTAATTTTAACGGTCATGTTTTCAATTTTAGCTGTGAATTGTTGTTGCTTTTAATGCAAAATGGAAATTTTTGACATCTGAAATTAGAAACAAAATTTAACAATGATTACACAAAATTCTTCTTCTGTGTAGTTGTACACAACATTTACCATGAAATCTTAAACTCTACTTCTTTCCGTTTTTGCAAATGGTAACAAGTTGAAAAATGTATCTTCATCTTTATTTACAGCCAAATGTGCTATTATTTTGATTTTGTACCATTTTTCAAAACGACAGCTAAATATATAAACCAACAAATTGGGCACATGTGGAAGCAAATTATACTTTTTGTCTGTCAAATCATATAAAACAGCTGTTAATTTCAGGGTAATCTTGCTACTATGGCAAAATATCTAGAGTGTTATAAATTAATCTCAAGTGTTATATAGGGGATAAATTCCTCAACTGTGCAAACTGAAGTGTACACAAAAGTTTGCTTACATTTTAATTTTGCTATTTCTTAATTGTGAATTGTGAATTTTTCTGTCAGCCACTTTCGTCAAATTTTATTCACCGTAAATTTGTCCGTTAGATTTAAAAAACATTAGAAATTTTGGGCAAAATTTAATATAAATTTGTATTATATTTTTATAGGTTTTGAAAATGGAAAAATATGAAAAAGCAAAACTTTGTACTCAAATATCAATATAGAATTTTCTAATGATTGTAATTGATAATATAATAATTGAAAAATATTATAAAAACGTAAAATAAAAATTTTTATTATAATAATTATCATAGAATTGCATTTTACTTAGAATGTGTACATTTTGTTTACTTATTTATTTTAAATAACTGTGTTCATTCAGCGTAAATAGAAATTTCCTCACTGGCAAATGTCAAAAATGCATTCAGCATGTCTACCGTACCCTTTATTTTACATTCGATCTCGTATTGCTTTCTTAAGAGCCTGAGCTATCAAAAATGTAAAATATTTGGTCAATGCGCCGTGTCTTTGACTGTGTATTCTCCTTACTTCATTATAAACAAAATTTACACTTTCATATAAATTCAAATAAAATATAAAATGATCAAAAATAATTTTTTTGCTTCTTTCATTTTATTTACATTTATATAAAAAACATTTTTATAAAATTATCTAAAATTATCACAAAAATAGTGTTTACAACAACAAATTTGTTCAAAATTTTCTTTACTTGTCATATGTTTATTGATTTAGGCAGTCATACCAAGAAGTTGTTCTATTGGCGCCTTCATGTCAAAAGAACACATCTCATTATGTGATATTGATTACCAATAGAATTTAAATAAACGCTATTTGTTAGAATAATTGCAATTATTGCTGCAGTTTGAAAGGGCAATAGGTTATATTACCCCCCATTAACAGTAGATCCTGACTGTGCTTAGAGTACAAAGAACTTTTACCTATATAACATCATTATAAAACCAAAACGTACTCAAGGCATTCAGCTATTTGATAGTGCTAGTGCTAGTGCTTAAGATGCTAAAATTCTTCAAATATCTCCACCAAAAATATTGAGAAATCTACCCTATGGCACAGGTAGAACAAGCTCATCCAGAATTCATTTCATCCTATAGTCCAGTGTCCCGCAAAAACTAAAACTTCCAGCATTTTAAATAACTTCAAACTTAGTTCCATGTATCGTCAAGTCAGAGGTTCTATATTTGAAGTATGCAGGTCATGTTGCTCTTGATCTTGCTGTTGAAGAAATATTTGTTTAATTGTAATAAATACAATAATAATATTGTTAGTCTTATTGTAAGATAAGCTAGAATCAGTAAAATAATGAGAAAAAAAATCAAGATTTCTTCTTGACACTTACTTCTTCCATAACTTTTACTAGGGTCTTGAATCCAATTGAACCTAATACTTTGTCATTATTTTTATTTAGAAAGCTTTTAATTCTTTGTAATATTGGTTATTGATAGGCTTGGAGTCGTTTCGTGACATGATTTCACTGTGTATGTCAGAAATGTGGGGATAGTAGTCTAGTATCATAACATACAAAGCATCTGCAAAGTCATAGGATAATGTCAAAGAGCAGGTGCAAATTATTCCGGTTCACTACAAAAGTTACATGATTGAGCACAGCAAAATATACTCCAACCACTTAATTTGGAATTTGAAACGAATGATATGTTAAGTAAAAGCATATTTTATAGGTTGCTATATGTCTATTGCATTTCATAATAATAAGCTTATTCGAAAATTATTGTTCTTAAATCAAATAGTATATAGATAACAAGAATATACATAAAAAAATAAAATAGTTTTCGTTTCAATGTTCAAACCCAAGGTTTCGCGGTATCTTTCCGTCGCAACAGGGTTATATTTATTTAATAATTGATAAATAAAAACAGAATTCCAAAAGAAAATAAAATTAAAATATATACAGTATATTGAAACATTCTTTATATAAAAATATTTGTATGTCTTATTTTAAAACTAAAACGTAATTATATTTAGGTTGTGTCTTCTTTTGTTGTTGAGAGTGTTAAAGGGGGTATTACATAGGAGACCTGCCTGTTATCTTGGTGCGTTGAAATGTCAAATTTGTGCCAAATCTTAAGTGTATTAGCAACATTTACAGGAATGACAAACGGTGCGGTGGAAATCAAAATATTTCCATCAAAATATATTAATAGTATTCTTTCTTGAGAAGTGTTCAAAATAATTTCGGCAATGAATAATGTGTAAAAGTAATCGACGTCCCACCAAGTCGTCGCGCCAAGTATGATGTGTAATACCCGCTCATAAATTATACTGTTTTATATTATATTATATATTTATATTATATATTTATATTATATTATATATTTATATTATATTATATATTTATATTATATTATATATTTATATTATATTATTTATTTATATTTTATTATATTGTTTTTGTGTAATTAAAAGTAATGTATTATGTATTGATTAAAATTTTAACATCTTAAAATCTTGAATTTGTTGTTTATTTTTTACTTTTCTAAACAATTTCCATTTCGCGTTCTATTCCAACAAACTTTAATTGTTCCGTTGGACCATATCTATAGTCAAAGAAGAGTTCTTCGCCCGGTTGTATAGCACGTTTAGCAAATATACCAATACGATGGTCACCAGTAACCATCATTACTTTTGCATAGCAATTTGGATTAATAGAGTGGTTCGCAAAACGAATTTTATTTCCTTTACGTGTTGCGTCCACTACGAAGTCATTGTTTAAATTAAACAAAAATGAACACATGTATTTGTCATATACTTTGCCACGACGATCGGCTTCGTCTTGTGATATGATTTCCCCACAATATTCTGATATGAATTCATTCTTTTGTGCACCTTCCTTAAGAAAAATACCCCAACCTGCGACATCCGATGGAGCCATTAAAAGATGTTTATCTGCAAATGTATGTGTTGTAGATAAATAAATGACATACAATAGAGAAAGAAAAATCTACTTACGCAATCCACGTTGTACGCACACATTTTTACATGTGACTTTAGTAAGTTTGAATTGGTCAGCTCCACATGCCTGACACAAATCTGGATCACACTCTCGCACTGCCAAATAACACGGGCATTGTTTTGTGTTGCATTGTGCTTTACAACGACAACCGGGAAAACGATTCTGGCAGTCGCTGCTGCAATTGCAGAATTTTTCGCAAAAGTTCTGTGTCAATAGACAAGAACAATTCATGTCACATGGCCCAGGATGATCGCATGGTGTGTAATTATACACATGAGCTGGATTTTCTTTTTTAAGTTGGATTTTACGGCAATGTAATGACCATAATCGTTGTTTTTTCTTCTTTTTACGAGGTGGCGTATAATCTTGTCGCAATTCATCAATATTGAACTCGCTCGTTTCCTTTTGGGCAAATGCATATACCTAAAAACACATATAAATGAAATATTCAATATTCAATATATTCAATATATTCTTAAGATTGCTTGTAAAAGAACAAACCTGTTGGCAAGTTTTTGTCAGTAACGTTTGTGCTATAGCGCAATAGTTTTTAAGAAATACTGTATGTAGAGTACGAAAAAGAGATTGATCACCGCCAGTCCATGTACAATTCGTATTTGAAGTGTCCATGATATCAGCTGTAATTAAAAATAAAATAGTTGAATAATATTATTTATAGACTATTTATGTTGTTAGTTAGTCAGTTAGTTAGTTGAAGTGGAGGGAGGAACGAGTCGTCCTCAATTAACTAAGGAAGTCGTTTTGATTCCACAATTCTTCGTAATAATAGTTAGATGATCAAATTAAAACCAATCAGAAACGTTGAAAAATGCGGGTTCCGACCAATGCTAATGCTGGAGATATCGTTGAACGGAAATATAACGCTTAAACCTTAACATGAATACACAACAGGTGTCCTGTGGTCTTTTCTTCGATCATCGGTAGAGATGTGCTACAAGAGATACTACAAAGCATATATTTTACATATTTGACACTCTGGATCTATTTAGCAGATAACTTGAAAGAAATTACAAATAGAAATTTCTGGCTTCTAAAAAAATATGTAATAGATAATGGGATTGTTTGGGATAAGATCGAATTATGGATCTGTAGGATTTTAATAGAAACTATCCTAAGTCAAGGCGAAGAATGGTAGCCACTTCAATGGGACGAACCAATTGGACTCTGGGCGTGTGCATTGAAATACAAGAACAGATGGGCGACATTATGGAGATAAAGAAATAGTTTGGGCACACAATTTAGGATAAATATTCAGCTGTTTTTTGTTGTTGTAATTTAAATACACTATCTACAAAAAATACTCAACTCATCAGTTTATCATCTAAAAATACAATTCAATACTTGCTTTTAGAAATTTTTTAAAACTTTCAATATAACAAAAGTGCAAGCAAAGGAGTATTAATTGAATCGCACTCATATTGTTGTTGTAGTAGTCTGAGGATATTTACAACAACATGTAAGGAATTACAACAGCACAATCAGGAAGTAAGTGCACTCATCGTAATGAACTCTACTTAATGTATACCAAAGAGGAAAGTGATAGCTATGGAATATTTTATAACATTGAGATGAATACTTTTGGTCATCTCGCATTGTTTTTTGTTACAACTTGTAACCAGAACTAAAATTATTCTAAAATGTGGCGGGATTTTAGAGAGCATTTAAAAAAAAATAATTAATTCAATTATTCTACAGCTGGTTTATGATTTCGTTCTAATATAAACACAGAACTTCTCACCAATAACAAGTAGGCAATAACTGTTAATTTGTTATAATCAGTTCTTTGTGCAATCAATGTTCCAATTGCATATATCAGTTAGCACCAGATGATGGCTTGTGTAGTTTCTTTTTTAGTGTAATTAATGCAAATAGTTTGCAAATTTAAACTTTGATATCTCGAAAAGTTAGTTACATCGGTATATAGCGTAGCGGGTAAAAAACTTAAAACTGGTGTGATGGGAAATGTATCAATGTTAATGCAAAACGTTTGCAACCTCAATAACATGATAGCTTGGTATATAGCATAATGACAAAATTAACTCAAAATTGGTATGCCAGTGAAATCGGATTCATGCCATTCGATATAGTTTTTACCGAAAGAAAACCGTCTGCATAATATTCCAAAACTGAGAGAAAGAGAGAGAGAGAGAGAGAGAGAGAGAGAAAAGCTATAACAACAATATTATATTAAAAGAGTAATTTCACATTTGTAGGAATATTATTATGAATTTTTTTCGTAATCGTTACCATAATATATAGAAGCTATAGTAGCAATAGCAAATATAGTAAATTTTGCATAGGTGTAATAGAATTAATATAATACATTTTGGATTATACGAAATCAAAATTATGTCAGATCCATAACATTGCTTACCCATTATTGAGTTTATTTCTGCTGATACAGCACTATTAACAGCTACTCCATTATCTTTTCCGTTTTCTGTATTAAATTCCTTATTGCTAAATTGGCTATTGCTGTCATTGCTGTCTTCTGAGCTTGCATCATTGCATGAATCAATCGGTGGTGTTTTACTATCCGCTGCCAACTTTTCTTTCATGCCATCCTATGCGACAAAAATTTAGTTTCTTCTTAATTGATATGAAGAGTATTTTAAAAATTGGCTTACCAATAGCATATAACAATCCTTGCCGCAAGGTTCTGTAAAAGGTTTAAGTTCGGGAAAACGACGTTTAAACAAATTGGGTCCAGCATGACTTTGTAAACCTATGGCAAGGCAAATATATTAATAAAATTAGCTTTTCATTATTATGATAGAGTTTAGCACTTTTAATTAACACTTATTTTTGTTAAATACTTTTCAATGAATAATGATGTTGAAGAGGGCAAATAACTTTGCAAGTGGTAAGATAATTGTTATTTATATTAAATATTCTTTATATATGTTTGCTTATTAGTAAACGTAGTGACTTTTTCATTGTGTGTAATATAAAAATTTCTTACTTCATTATTATTATTATTAAAATTAATACACATATAAACATTTATATTTTAATTTAAACATTGACATGCATTCACAACGAAAATAAGGGCATTCACTCTCTCTTGTAAACTCATTGCAAGGTGCACGAAATCCAAGAATGCTATACAAAATTGCAAGGATGCCAGAATACCTCTGTTGCGGAATGCAGAATTGCTTCATCAAAATAAAGCAGTTGTTTTTGCAGCCGTATCACATTGAGCGAAGAAAAATAAAACTGTATGTAAGAATGCTGCCAAAAGCAAAAAGCTTTTTGCTTGATAAAAATCTTGACTAATTGTCAATATGTACTTGACAAATTTGTCAAGTTCACAGAACCCCCCTACCCTAATCAGGGGTGTTAATATATAATTAATTTTTATCTGACAATATTTAGAAAATTTTAAACACCTTTCGCTAACAAATTCATATTTAAGAATGAGAAGCAACTGATGTCAAAACAGCTGTTTTTTTCTATTGTTGTTTTGTTGCCAAAGCATATATGCAAGGGTTTAGGCATAGGAAGATTGCAAGCAATTGCAAGAAACTTTGTGCGTGTAATTTGTTGTTAATGGCAAACTCGCGCAATCTGTGCATTGCGTGCACCTTGCAATGAGTTTACAAGAGGGAATGAATACCCCTGTTTTTTCAAAATAAATGTCTTTCATCCTTTCCTCAAATTTTTCTATAGATTAACTATTGATTAACTATTCTTGCGAATTTAAAAAAAAAATGCAAATTTTTATAATACAAAATATAATCCTCAAAAGTGGAACTTGCCCTGAGGTTAATGCATACCGTAAATTTTTTATTTCACACCTTTTTTGTTTATCGTTTATCTTCTTTTCAAATGAAATTAGGAGTCGGATGATGAGATTTTGCATAATATGTAATGTTAAATGATTAATAATGAATATTAATTTCAACATATTTCGAATATTTGACATTCATTAAACAACTACAAACTCACCGTTTGTTTGGTGGCCTAAATTGTAGTTTCAAATATTTTAACGTTTTAACAATAATGTACAATATACGTTTTTATTTGTTACGTTTTTAATTTTTTAAAAAAAGTAAAAGGGAATAAAAATAAAATAATTAAATATTTGTAAATATTTAAAAATCACTTTTCACAATATATATATAAAATTAGAACAATACTTACGATGCAGAAAGCAGTCATATTTGAAGCATCTACGACAGAAAAGGGTATGGAAGGAGTGCATCGTACGTTCTCGGCTAACACTTTCAGCCTTTTCGCCATCTATATTTGGAGTACATTCTTGCGGTCTTTCGGGATCCTGATGCTCAGTTGCCTCGATGTATCTTTAAAATAAAATAAGTAATAAGTATTTGAATTTAATTAATTTATTATTATTAATTAGATTTCGATTTTCTTACTTCTCCTTCAGTTCTATAGCAGTACCTCTATCTGGAAACAATGCACTGATAGCTTGAAATATTATAGGAGCTGGAAATGGTAATTTCTCCTTATCCGTTGTGCCATCATCTAAATCGGAATCTTCTTCATAATAATTCTTATCTTCTGTCTTTTTCTTTTCATTTTCGGTAACGTCTTTAGCATCTGCATTTTCTGTATCAGCTTTTTCATTTTTATCAGTTCGTTCATTTTCATTAGCAGTTTCTTCGATGTTGTCAGTGACCATTGTGCTTGAGGTTGCATTCATTTCCTTTGTATATTTTCTAGTCAACGCATGAACCAGTTCAACGAAAATATGTGTGTCCATAAAATTTGCATCCTTATCCCCATGAACCTTGCCATCATAGTTTTTGATGAGTTCTTCAATAAATTTACCATCTTTATCTAATACTTCATCTCCCATATATGGTATATTATGGAGCACAGTTTCGTCTTCCACCATAAAATTAACCTGAGTTGGCGCCCAAGTATACATGGTGGGAATCGGAGTAACTGCATATAAAATACTGATAGGAGCATTTTGTCGAGTAGTTTCCCCATCTTTATATTGAGTTACTTCAGCTCGTTTGACACAGTCGATGTGTGGTGGTGCATAATTAGAAATGGGTAACCAAGAGCCTATCTCTGCTATGTCTTCCTCATTTCTGGCCCTTTAAAAATAATAATGTTAAGGACTAGTGTTATGCAAAACAAAAATAATAGTAACACAAATATATGAATACAGATACAGTAGTCTCTCCCAATCGTTAAGTAGTTTGTTTAACCAAATTTCCAGTAACTTAAGTTTTCTAGAATCTTTCCTTCTGGTATGTGCACACACCTTATTACACACTAATTTACATATAAGAATATATTCTGATAACTTAAGCTAAACCTAAGTGTTCCGTGAAGTTAAGATATAATTATCTTTAAAATTATTAACACTATAAACAAACTATAAAACTCTGAAATTCTATAAGAATATAACGGCATTGTAAAACTTACCAATTTACATGCCAACAGTGACCGATTTGCTTTGCCCTTTTGGCACGCATTTTAAATCGAATTTTTGTATATTCTTTTTTCACTCTTCTTTTCCATTCATAAAGCACTTTTATATTACTCATTATATTAAATTAAACAATTTTCCAATAAAGAATGCATAAATCAAGACAGATCCGCAGAAGCTTCAACAGCGTCTGTTGATAGCATTCACACTACTTTATTGGCGCGAAAGTAAACGTCAAAAAATACTTTAGAACAAAGCATACAAAGAAAGGTGTTCTTTGCTTTACATGAGGAGAGTCTCTATTGTGAATTAGAAACAGGTTTTCTTTAACAGAAACAGTTTAAAGGGTCCGCCTAAGTAGTTTGAGAAGCTTTCACAAATAAATTTTTTCACTTTACAAGTTCCAATAATTTTACAAGTATATTTGTGAAATTCAATAAAATGATGATATATTTATTAATTTATTGTTTTAACGACCAAATACTATAAATAATAAATTTGTTTTTTAATGAGATAATTGGTCAACAATTAAGTAATAGACTATTTATAGACTAATTTGCTCGAAATATCGGTTCAAATAATATCTTTGAAAAAGAAAAGTTTATTTTAAAAAGTCAATTATTTAAGTTTTAACCAATTTTAACAAAATTATTATTGAAATTATTATATAAATTTTATGGATTTTTATATTCAGTGCATTGCAATAGATAGATTACTGTTTTACATACACAACAACTTCCAACAATCAATAAATCACACATACATATATGGATATGTCACTGGGTATAGTCCATACGTGCCCATTACACGATTAGATAGATTGCAAAAAATAAATGGATTCAAAAAAAAAAGTAAATAAATCACACAATTTATGCCATTTTCGAATGGTGAATCTGGATTCAATCTAGATTTACTCTAGATCTGTCACATTTGTTGCCCAATCGAACATTTTAAGAGTGTTATATACTTTATTGATTAATTAATAATATATCTTACAAATTAATAATAATGATAATGAATTACGCAGCATGGCACGGCTACTTCAACGACAACTACGCACACACGTATTTTTTCTTTTTTACCTTTTTTTCATTCAGTGTCCTCATGATCGAATATATTACAAATAGTAATATAAAATGTTGGTAGTTGTGTTATACAGCGTTTCCATTGCGTGATTAAAAGTAGATAAAAGCAAAAATCAAGATTAAAGTACTGACCCCGTGTTAACCTCAGATTTCCCTTACAAAAGTTAATCTCCTTCTCGTGGTGATTAGTTTTAAGTGTGATGATTATTTCTCTGTGCAACTCTACAAATGTCTTAATGTCATAGATTTTTTTACGATCTTAGAGAAAAGGTCTTAGTGTAATGGATTTTTTTACGATCTTAAAGAGAGTTGTCAAAATCTATTCAAAACAATCATTTAAAATTTGAAAATTCCGAAGTAAGTGAAATTTCTATTAAATTTGTTTAATAATAATTTTATACAAAATTTGTTAAATTATTGTTATAAAACTATTAATTAAATATATATTACAATTCTTTTTATACAAAATTGTAAATTAATGCTTTATTTACAGATATTTATCCAACACACGAACCAAAGCACAACAAGAGGAACGTCAAAATTAATCTCCACCATATAATGTAAACGGTGGAGATTAAAAATGCAAACTGACTTAATCTCGTTCTTTTAATCTCACAAATTGGACACATGTGGAAACAAATTATACTTTTTGTCTGTCAAATCATATAAAACAGCTGTTAATTTCAGGGTAATCTTGCTACTATGGCAAAATATCTAGAGTGTTATAAATTAATCTCAAGTGTTATATAGGAGATAAATTCCTCAACTGTGCAAACTGAAGTGTACACAAAAGTTTGCTTACATTTTAATTTTGCTATTTCTTAATTGTGAATTGTGAATTTTTCTGTCAGCCACTTTCGTCAAATTTTATTCACCGCAAATTTGTCCGTTAGTTTTAAAAAACATTAGAAATTTTGGGCAAAATTTAATATAAATTTGTATTATATTTTTATAGGTTTTGAAAATGGAAAAATATGAAAAAGCAAAACTTTGTACTCAAATATCAATATAGAATTTTCTATTGATAGTAAAGTTTTGAAATTTATAATATAATAATTGAAAAATATTATAAAAATGTAAAATAAAAAATTTTAATACAATAATTATCATAGAATTGCATTTTACTTAGTATGTGTGCATTTTGTTTACTTATTTATTTTAAATAACTGTGTTCATTCAGTGTAAATAGAAATTTCCTCACTGGCAAATGTCAAAAATGCATTCAGTATGATTACCGTACCCTTTATTTTACATTCGATCTCGTATTGCTTTCTTAAGAACCTGAGCTATCAAAAATGTCAAATATTTGGTCAATGCGCCGCGTCTTTGACTGTGTATCCTCCTTACTTCATTATAAACAAAATTTACACTTTCATATAAATTCAAATAAAATATAAAATGATCAAAAATAATTTTTTTGCTTCTTTCATTTTATTTACATTTATATAAAAAACATTTTTATAAAATGATCTAAAATTATCACAAAAATAGTGTTTACAACAACGAATTTGTTCAAAATTTTCTTTACTTGTCATATGTTTATTGATTTAGGCAGTCATACCAAGAAGTTGTTCTATTGGCGCCTTCATGTCAAAAGAACACATCTCATTATGTGATATTGATTACCAATAGAATTTAAATAAACGCTATTTGTTAGAATAATTGCAATTATTGCTGCAGTTTGAAAGGGCAATAGGTTATATTACCCCCCATTAACAGTAGATCCCGACTGTGCTTAGAGTACAAAGAACTTTTACCTATATAACATCATTATAAAACCAAAACGTACTCAAGGCATTCAGCTATTTGATAGTGCTAGTGCTAGTGCTTAAGATGCTAAAATTCTTCAAACATCTCCATCAAAAATATTGAGAACAATGATTGGTGCCCTATGGCACAGGTAGAACAAGCTCATCCAGAATTCATTTCATCCTATAGTCCAGTGTCCCGCAAAAACTAAAACTTCGAGCATTTTAAATAACTTCAAACTTGGTTCCATGTATCGTCAAGTCAGAGGTTCTATATTTGAAGTATGCAGGTCATGTTGCTCTTGATCTTGCTGTTGAAGAAATATTTGTTTAATTCTAATAAATACAATAATAATATTGTTAGTCTTATTGTAAGATAAGCTAGAATCAGTAAAATAATGAGAAAAAAAATCAAGATTTCTTCTTGACACTTACTTCTTCCATAACTTTTACTAGGGTCTTGAATCCAATTGAACCTAATACTTTGTCATTATTTTTATTTAGAAAGCTTTTAATTCTTTGTAATATTGGTTATTGATAGGCTTGGAGTCGTTTCGTGACATGATTTCACTGTGTATGTCAGAAATGTGGGGATAGTAGTCTAGTATCATAACATACAAAGCATCTGCAAAGTCATAGGATAATGTCAAAGAGTAGGTGCAAATTATTCCGCTTAACTACAAAAGTCACATGATTGAGCACAGCAAAATATACACCAACCACTTAATTCGGAATTTGAAACGAATGATATGTTAAGTAAAAGTATATTTTATAGGTTGCTATATGTCTATTGCATTTCATAATAATAAGCTTATTCGAAAATTATTGTTCTTAAATCAAATAGTATATAGATAACAAGAATATACATAAAAAAATAAAATAGTTTTCGTTTCAATGTTCAAACCCAAGGTTTCGCGGTATCTTTCCGTCGCAACAGGGTTATATTTATTTAATAATTGATAAATAAAAACAGAATTCCAAAAGAAAATAAAATTAAAATATATACAGTATATTGAAACATTCTTTATATAAAAATATTTGTATGTCTTATTTTAAAACTAAAACGTAATTATATTTAGGTTGTGTCTTCTTTTGTTGTTGAGAGTGTTAAAGGGGGTATTACATAGGAGACCTGCCTGTTATCTTGGTGCGTTGAAATGTCAAATTTGTGCCAAATCTTAAGTGTATTAGCAACATTTACAGGAATGACAAACGGTGCGGTGGAAATCAAAATATTTCCATCAAAATATATTAATAGTATTCTTTCTTGAGAAGTGTTCAAAATAATTTCGGCAATGAATAATGTGTAAAAGTAATCGACGTCCCACCAAGTCGTCGCGCCAAGTATGATGTGTAATACCCGCTCATAAATTATACTGTTTTATATTATATTATATATTTATATTATATATTTATATTATATTATATATTTATATTATATTATATATTTATATTATATTATATATTTATATTATATTATTTATTTATATTTTATTATATTGTTTTTGTGTAATTAAAAGTAATGTATTATGTATTGATTAAAATTTTAACATCTTAAAATCTTGAATTTGTTGTTTATTTTTTACTTTTTTAAACAATTTCCATTTCGCGTTCTATTCCAACAAACTTTAATTGTTCCGTTGGACCATATCTATAGTCAAAGAAGAGTTCTTCGCCCGGTTGTATAGCACGTTTAGCAAATATACCAATACGATGGTCACCAGTAACCATCATTACTTTTGCATAGCAATTTGGATTAATAGAGTGGTTCGCAAAACGAATTTTATTTCCTTTACGTGTTGCGTCCACTACGAAGTCATTGTTTAAATTAAACAAAAATGAACACATGTATTTGTCATATACTTTGCCACGACGATCGGCTTCGTCTTGTGATATGATTTCCCCACAATATTCTGATATGAATTCATTCTTTTGTGCACCTTCCTTAAGAAAAATACCCCAACCTGCGACATCCGATGGAGCCATTAAAAGATGTTTATCTGCAAATGTATGTGTTGTAGATAAATAAATGACATACAATAGAGAAAGAAAAATCTACTTACGCAATCCACGTTGTACGCACACATTTTTACATGTGACTTTAGTAAGTTTGAATTGGTCAGCTCCACATGCCTGACACAAATCTGGATCACACTCTCGCACTGCCAAATAACACGGGCATTGTTTTGTGTTGCATTGTGCTTTACAACGACAACCGGGAAAACGATTCTGGCAGTCGCTGCTGCAATTGCAGAATTTTTCGCAAAAGTTCTGTGTCAATAGACAAGAACAATTCATGTCACATGGCCCAGGATGATCGCATGGTGTGTAATTATACACATGAGCTGGATTTTCTTTTTTAAGTTGGATTTTACGGCAATGTAA